TAGCCTTCTATGATGTTGTCTCTGGCTGGGTGGGTGGGGGGAGAGCAGTGGATGTAGTCTACCTTGATTTTAGAAAGGCATTTGATACTGTCTCCCACAAAGCTGAGGAAGTGTGGGATAGATGAGTGGACAGTGGGGTGGGTTGAGAACTGGCTGACTGGCAGAGCACAGAGGGTCATCGTTGGCGGTGCAGAGTCCGGTTGGAGGCCTGTAACCAGCGGTGTTCCTCAGGGGTCTGTGCTGGGTCTGGTCTTGTTCAACATCTTCATCAATGATCTTGATGAGGGGATGGTGACCACCCTCAGCAAGTTTGCTGATGATACGAAGTTGGGAGGATTGGCTGACGTGCCTGAAGGCCGTGCTGCCATTCAGCAAGACCTGGACAGGCTGGAGAGCTGGGCAGAAAAAAAACAGACGAGGTTTAACAAAAGCAAGTGTAGAGTCTGGCGTCTGGGGAAGAATAATTGCATGCACCAGTACAGGTTGGGGGATGAGCTGCTGGAGGGGAGCTCTGCGGAAAGGGACCTGGGTGTCCTGGTGGATGACAGGTTGGCCATGAGCCAGCAGTGTGCCCTTGTGGCCAAGAGGGCCAATGGCTTACTGGGGTGCATTAAAAAGAGCGTGGCCAGCAGGTCGAGGGAGGTGATCTTCCCCCTCTGCTCTGCTCTGGTTAGGCCCCATCTGGAGCACTGCGTCCAGTTCTGGGCTCCCCAGTACAAAAAAGACAGGGATCTCTTGGAAGGAGTCCAGCGGAGGGCCACAAAGATGGTGAAGGGCCTGGAGCATCTCTGCTATGAGGAAAGGCTGAGTGAACTGGGTCTGTTCAGCCTTGAGAAAAGAAGACTGAGAGGGGACCTGATCCAGGTCTATAAATATCTAAGGTGTGGGGGGCAGAATGGCGAGGCCGGACTCTTTTCAGTGGTGAGTGGAGACAGGACAAGGGGAAACGGCTGGAAACTGCAGCATAGGAAGTTCTGCACAAACATGCGCAAGAACTTCTTTACAGTGAGGTGACGGAGCACTGGAACAGGCTGCAGGGAGGTGGTGGAGTCTCCTTCTCTGGAGATGTTCAAGACCTGCCTGGATGCTGACCTGTGCGACCTGCTGTAGGGAACTGCTTAGGCAGGGGGGTTGGACTCGGTGAGCTCTGGAGGTCCCTTCCAACCCCTACAGTTCTGTGACGCTTCTGAAAAACCTTCTGTCAAACATTTGGTTTCACCTTAATGAGAAACCTGATTCTGAGAAACAGAGCTGATTCTAGTGCTTGACTCTCAAGGATCATTGAGCCCAGCTCTTGCTTCCACACAGTTTTGTCACACTTGTTACTCCAACTAATCAAAAACTTTAAAAGCATTTTTTCCAGAGTGTTAGTACATTGCTGGAGGGTCAGAAATATGAAATGCCCAGGAAGTGCTGCTCACAGTAATGTACTTGATGCAGTTTACTCGACCTCAGATATTTGTGATGTTAATCCTATGACAAATGTGCATTGTATCCTTTGAACACAATCTGATGCTTTATACACATACGGATTTGGACCCTTGAACTGACTTCTTAAAGTCTGGCCTCCAGTGTGTGACCTTCCCAATGTTGTTGTGCCTGCATTCCTATGAGCCTTAGGAAGCACAAGTGTGAGTGTGTTCTTGAATGGAGTTACAGATCCCAAGGAACTCAGCTGTTGTTGTAAGATGATTGGAGCCTGCATTTCTTGGTACTGTTACTGTAGTGAGTTCAGGTAGTTTTAACAGAGCTTTGTTTATTAGTTCAAGTCCAGTAAAATGGCTTGGTTCCCTTGCTGTGCTAGATTGAAGGGAGAACGCTCACCTGAATAGCAGATATTATCTACGAAGTTGTCTGACTTGGTTTTGATTTTATGGAGTTACTTAATTCTATTCAACTGCTGGCAAATGTGCAATTGCACTTTTGTGCAAGTGTATAAACAGGTGTTATTGGGCAATAAAATGTGTTTGAGTGGAAAACTACGTGCAGGACTTTCTTGTGTGGAAGGACTGCTGCTGCTCTGTGATAATGAGAAAGCTGCTGCTGATGTAAGGCTAAATGAAGGACACTTGTGAATTGTGCTTGGCAGCATTGGGCAGGTGGCCAGAAAAGGTTTCTACAACTTGGCAGAAAAAAAAAAAAATATATATATATATTAAAAAACAAAATTCATGTTAATTTTAAATGTTTTTGAAAACTTGATTGCTCTTGGGAGACAGAGGAGTGCCTCTTTGTAGGTGTATCCTTCAATGGACATGAAGTTAAAAATGAGATCTTGATCTTGTTGTCGCTTGAAAATTGCGGAATCAGAGTAGTTTGGGTTGGAACTTCAGGGATGTCTCATTCAAAGCCAAGATCACAGCCTTGAGATCAGACCTGACTGCTCACAGCTTTCTTCTGCTTGCTCTTGAACCTCTGAAGGTAGACAGAATGACAGAATCACAAGGTTGGAAACGACCTGCAAGATCATCCAGTCCAACCCCCCTCCCATTCCTATCAGTACCCCAAGCACTAAACCATCTCTCGTAGCTCCTCATCCAGGTGCCTCTTGAACACTGCCAGGGATGGCGACTCCACCACCTCCCTGGGCAGCCATTGCAGTGCCTGACCACCCTTTGAGAGAAAAAGTTTCTCCTAATATCCAACCTAAACCTCCTCTGGTACAACTTCTGGCCATTTCCTCAGGTCCTCACCTAGACATGGTGACATTTCCCATACCTACCAGCCCCTTGGTCATGAAAGTGTTGCTTTTGTTTTGTTTTTCCTTCCTTTATTTTCTTCTGCTTTATATCAGGATGGAATCTCCTCACTTTCAGTTGGTTGCATTTTGTCATTCATCGCCTGGAGCTCTGCCTGGTCAGTTTGCACCCCATGGGTTGGGTGCTGGCTGAGGCCCCAGCCCTGGGCGCTCACCCGCTTCTGGGCCCAGCTCCTCCCACAGCCGTGTCAGCACACCTTGCACCAGGGCCAGATGTGGGTGCTGTTCTCTGTGCTGACTCATAGGTGCCATGTAGAGAAGAGTGAAATTAGCTGACTGTGGTTTACTTAAAAGTAATAATAATCAGAATGCATGTAGTTATGCACATGCTGTGTAGTTTTAGGGCTTTTAAAGTGTGATTGGCTTTAAAGTGAAACTTAAGTAGTGCTGCAAGAATTCTTCTGTTAGTGCTGCTGAACCAAGTGAACTAACCTGAACTTTTTTTAATGGAATATTCAGTGGTTAATAGAAACAACTTTGACAGATGACTGACCTCCAGTGCATATTTATTCAACTCTAATTAGCTTTGAATAAGTCTAATTTACATTACTGAAGCACTGGAAATAAAACAGAGTAATTGATTATAATACTATAATGAAATAATGCATAGAAATGAGAGTCAGTGAGTTCACGCTCTCAGAAAAGTGTGCTCAAAGGAAAGGTTGGAAGGATGGCACGCAGCACCAGTGGTTCCCAGAGCACACCTGGCAAGGCATGCTGGGGAAGCACCGCGCACCGCATGTAGTGCCACAGCTTGGTCAAAGCATAGTGCGCATGTTGAAGAAAGCAAAGAAGGCAGCTTAGGGCTTTTAAAACTTTGTTCTGTTCCCTTGTGAGCAGCGATGGCACTGTTGGAAGCAGTGTTACATGGCAGCAGGCAGTTGGGCTGGGCTCCAGGCACTGAGCAGTGCCACAGTGCTCAGCTCACACCCTGCCAGAGCTGCCACCTGCATCTCTGTGTGGACAGCGAGCCTGGGCTGCCAGCTCCCCGCTGCAGGCTGCGTCACTGTTTTGCAATGCACATCTCTTCAGGGCAGCCGCATCTTTCCCAAAGCACTTCTCTAGGGCTTGTTTATGCTGGCTTGCTGCACAGTGCTGGTGCAGCTTCAGTAGCTCCAGTAGAACAGCTGCATTGCTGTGGAAGAACTGGGGCTGCTGTGCTCAGCTGACTTCTGCACCTTCCTCTCTGCCTCGCATGCTGTTTTTCACTTAGAATGTGAACAAAACAACCACTTCATGCTAAAAATATAATGTTCCCATTATTGTTGCAGTACCTTCAAAGGTTGTTTGGATCTTTTGCAGTACCATCTTTTGCTATTGCATGCACAGGAGTGCTGTAATGTCACTGTGAGCCTGCTGCCATGCGGGAAGGAGCATAGGCTGGTTTGTTCTGGTGCAGAAATCTGTACAAACCAGGTTTGTTGCGTAGTAGGGAGAGAAGGGGCTTATTTTAGGCTGAAAGGTTGTGATATTGTAGCCTGAAGTCACCTACTGCTGCTCTCCCTCAAAATAGTAGCTCTGAAAAGTTCTGTGCTTTGTCACTTTGGCTTGATGAACAGTGTGCCTAACGAATGGGAAGCGTGATGTGAGGTGAAGGTACTGTTGGGAGTAACTTCAGCTGTGAGAATTTTCCCCATGCATGTCTTAGAGATCTCCTGTGCAGTATCAGGAAATGGTAAAGAAGATTAATGCTGTATTATGCAACTCTAATTGATATCACTTTTAAAAAAGCCATTTTTTGGTAAGGTGTTGTGGCTGTTCGGCCCAAAGGCTGAACTGTCTTCCTTCTGCTGGGCTCACTGAAGTTTCAGTTTAGGAAATGGGAGATTGTTTTTAAATGCTTTCGTTTTGCTAAGTGAAAACTCTCAGTACAAATGCTCCACATGGATTGCATCTCCTTGCATGTGTAGCCTGCACCTTAATGCACGGTAATGCTTGTTGACTTGACTAATAATAGTATACAGACAACTGAATTGGAGCATCCTGCTTGAGTCAGAGTGCATGGGAACAGATTTTGGAACTATTAATGAGTTTCTTGTTAGATTTGGGTGCTTCTAAGTAGTGGCCTCGAATCACGAGACATTTTATATATCTGTATCTATATATAGATATTTCATTTTTTTAATGAATACCAACTTGCAAGATATTACTGGGGGCTCTTGGTGTCCAAAGGCTCAATCTCCTGTAAGCAGTGTGTATTCTAAAAAGAAGTTTAATTCTCCAATTTGTGCTTTCTCATCAGATACTCAGTATGGCCTCATCATCAGCGCCTAAATATAATTCACACTCCTTGGAGAGCTCCTCAATTAAAAGAGTAAGTGTAACTTCTTCATGTTTTCTGCATCAGGGTTCTCAGAGGTTGAATATGGAAGATTGTGGATGGAAAACTGAATACTTGAAATGTTGTTTGTGTTTTTCTTGATTGTATGTACTTAATTTTCTTGCTAAAGCTTTAATGAAGTTAAGTAAGCTGGTTTAAATATTGTCAGAGTGGATGGGTGAAACAATCTGGAATGCTAGTTATGAGTCTCCTTAAAGTCAATTCTAATACACTTACTGTTATCTTTGCTTTCTGCATTGAAATATTTTATGGTATATTTGCAAATTTTAGGCCATTCTATGCTGCAGAAACATTCTGAATTGCAACTGATCAGTTACTTCTAGTCATTTGGTTGGCCTCCTTTTTAAATGTTGATTTTTAGTGGGAAATGCTCGTGTTAAAGCAGGCTAAATGACATTCCCCCTTGCCTTTTATTGTGGTGTGGCTGCGTGCAAGAAAACACAAACTAAGTTTTATTTAGCTTTTTAAACATTTCTTCAAAAACAAATTCAGTGATCTTTAAGAATGATTAACAACTGTGTGAATTCACAACTACTACGTTCTGTCTGCTCATTGTGATTACGTTGCTTAAGTGATTTCATTTTTAAGCTTGGAAATTTGGAAAATTGTATATAGAAAATGCATAGAGAAATAATGGTATAGATGTTTAATTCCTATGTTCTGCAGATAGGTTTAACTGTTTCTTTAGAATAAGAGACTAAAACTCGCTGATCTGACAGAGCTATTCAAGCTTTAAATAATTTGCAGTTGAGGATAGGGGTGTGTTCCTCTTTTGGTTCAGCTTGTAGGTTTCTACTGTGGGTAAGGCTTTTCTTTCCTATGCAGAAATTACGGATTTTTTTTTTAATCTGGAAGTTGTAATAATTGTAAATAGAATATGATGTACTGTTCTACTTCTCTTTCTTTAGACTCTAAAAGATGGAACTAACTGGGAAAAAAGTGACGAAATACCCCGTCTGCCAGGAGAGACTAGAGTTACAGGTATGAGGCCGTATGGGCTTGAGAGTCTGGTATGGGTGTGTGTGTCTTGGTGGCTTCTTCCCATAATCTGGAATGGTTTGGACTGGGGCTGAAGCTATGTTACAATGTCATGAATTAGTTTTTTCAAGTAATCAGAGGATTTTTATCGCACTTTGCAAATAGTAATTTTTGAAGACTTTGAAGTCTTTGTTTCCATATGCTGCAGCAGGTTCTCTAACGCAAAGAAATTCTAAGTCAACATGTATCATTATTTTGTATGTGGACCAGGTAATATCTCATGACATAATCCATCTCTTCTGGAGTCAAAAGATGCCACACATACATGCCACACAATACTGCATTGGTATCTTGTGCAGTGGTGTGCAGCTGTAGCCCCAGCTGTGACTACTGCAGGTGCAGCACAGTGCTTCCTTCACACAGCATGGTGTGCACTTAACTACTGCACACTTGTTTGCATTGCCGCATGGTATTGTGGCATGAAAAAGATTAATATATTAAGGGCTGTGGTTCCTTACTTGATACAGGCTCTTCCTGGGCTACAGCCTTACACTCATGGAAGTTTGCTGTTAGGAATGAGAATCCAACTAAAAGACATCTCTTATTTGCAAAACTGCTCCTTCCCTCCAACCCAAGTATTTGTTCTATTAATTTGTAAGCCAGTCTGGCTGAGAGGAAACCAAAATAGTGATTCAAAGGAAGTACCTGTGTGTTTAATGAGGAAAGTTGGGAAGGCATGAGGATGTGGCTGAAGGAAGAATGTTTGATATGATCCTTGTGACAATTATCTCTGCTTTGGGGGAGAACACTGGAAGGATGGTGCTTGTTGGGGAAGGCAGGTAAGCAGTGTGAGTTAAAGAAATGAGTGGACAAGGGGAAACAGGTTGTTTGCATTACGTCATTAAGGCTTTAATGGAAGACTTCAGTTAGATATGGTTTGTTGGTTTTTTTTGAGTAGTATGTGTTGGTGCTCACTGTTTAACCATCCTTGCTGAAAGTGCAGGTGGCCCTCCTGCAATTGATTGCCTCAAATTGAAATGTAATGGTTCTCTTCAGGGTGGAGTTCCTAAACATGTCACAGCATGAACTACATACTCTAATGCAGGAGGATTGGTTAGGGGGCACTGAAAGGTGTGATGGTCAATGAAAGAGTGTATTTGTTCTGGGGTGGTGAAGAAACAAGTTCAGTGGTCACAGGGAAGTTTAAAATCTCTTCACTCTGTGTCCTGCCCTTTCCTACACAGTGCCAATAGGAACACCAGTATAGCTGGGGAAAGCTAATGAAACCTACTGGAGGATCTGGGGCAAGTTTCTTATAAGAAACTTTATAAGAAACATTTTTTTTAATAATTTCAGTGGATAAAAGTCAGATTTATTACTTTAATTCATTCAGCTTTCTTTAGAATGACTCTTATGAGTACATCTGTCTTTATTTTACTGCTGTTTAATTGATGTTTTGCTTAGATTTGATTTTTTTCTTCTCCCAATGTTTAAGAAATGCTGCATTTCTTACAGACAAGGATGTTATTTACATGTGTCCTTTTAATGGCCCCGTTAAAGGAAGAGTATACATCACAAACTATAGGCTGTACCTAAGAAGTGTGGAAAACGTGAGTAATATGCCACAATTACTTCTGAGGGATGAGTGAATTTTAAAGTCTCTTCTCTTCAACCCCTTTGCTGCCTTTGATTTACTTTGTGGCCAGTTCATTTGCTTTCGCTTTGGCACACGTATGCTTGAATTGCACAGGAGGCTTTTTGCTTGAAATGGTCTGTAACATTTGTAATAACTATGTTGTAATTGTTTAATGGCTGAGCAGTAATTGCCTTTGTGCCACTGAGAAATCCTTACAGAAATGGAAGCTCTTTGAAGTTGAGTATGTTGTAAATATGATTTTTTTTCATGGTGAAACTACAGTTTAAGCACTTAGTGAACTGGGAACTCCTTGTCTGTTGGAGCTTTTTTTGGTAACTGTTCCCTTCGTGCTTGCTCTGTGACAGAGCAAAGGCAGCAACCAGTGATGTGCACTACTTCTTGAAATGGCTGTCAGTAAACTGCAGTTTTGGTTGTCCTTGCTGTTGGAAGAACATCATGTGGGTGGTAGGAGTAGTAGTGTGTTCAATAAGCAGCATCAGAAAAGAAAACGTGCTTGTTGTCTATTTCCATAACTCATTAAAGAAACAAAACAGCACACATTTATAGGATTACTGAAGTGAGATCATTGTGGTTACAACTCACTTTTCTTTAGTGATTTCTTCATTTTGTACTGCTTTATTCTGTATGTCAGTGGAGCAGGCATAGCAAGCAGAGGGAGTTAGAAGTATGTAACAGATGACATCTTTTTGGGTGCTGCCACATTTTCTCCTGCGTACTCTGCCTTATGGCATGAAATATCCAATTGTACAGGCTATGGAAATGATGCTCAAGGCTGTCGACCATAAAGACTTTGTAATATGTTGGAAGAGGAGACTTGATCAGACCCAGAAACGTACTTTTGCTTGCTGTGTGTATTTTGTTCTACTGTGGTATGCATAAGAACACTTTGCCTAAGTTGTCTTCTCAGATTAATCCTCTCCTTACCCAAACTTTCATTGCAGGATCCAGTTGTGGTATTGGATGTTCCACTGGGTGTGATTTCAAGGATTGAAAAAATGGGAGGAGCTTCAAGCAGAGGAGAGAATTCTTATGGATTAGATATAACGTGTAAAGTAAGACTTTTCAATAGTTCAATGGGAAATGAAATCTGCAGATTCCTTTTCTCGCTGTTTACCTACTTACAGGAATGAGAACTGTGTATTCCTCACAGCTGAATTTAGAAATAGAACTGGACAGGGAAGTACCTTTGTATAAAAGGCTGTGGCCTCTGCGTGTGAGGGAGGGTTTGGTCTTCATTTCCTAACTGCTGTTTGACGAAAGATTTTGCACAGCAGTGTTAAGGTATTATTCCTGAACCACTTAATTATTTCATAGGATCTAAAAGTAATTAAAAAATAAAGTCTTTGAAGTCACCTCAAGCAGGTTTTCTAAGCAAAAACTGAAGAGCAGATGTAATGGATTTCTCTATTTCCTTATTCTTGCAAAAAAAAAAAAAAAAAAAAATCGTTGCCATAAAAAAAAATAAAGTTGGGGGGAGTTTCCAGTGGGTGAATCAGGGTCTTTTATTTGACTTGCAAATGGGGTATGTACACACACTCACTTTTTTTCTCTGTAGTTAATGTACAGATTGTCTTCTCATTGCTACCTTCAGAAGCAAGCAACTTGGGGCAGTGTAGTCTAGAGCAATCACTGGCAAATTTTCACTTGGAAAACATTGGGTAACTCCCATCCTGCAAGCATTCAGTAGCCTATGGGTTTTGTTGTTTTTTTTTTTTGTTTGGTTTTTGTTTTTTAGTGAATCATATGGAGTCACTTTGGGTGGCTTTATGCCATAGCAGTGTGTGCACCATACAGAATTGATGCCACATTGCAGAATTCTTAAGCTCACCTTTGTTTTGTGTGATAAGAAAAAAAAAACCTGAGCTTTCACAGCAGTTTGAGGGGTGTTGCAAGCAGATTCTGAATCTTATTTAGTGTGTGATACAACATTTGTCCATCAGATAGGAGTATCTTGCTGCCTTGGCTCTCTTAACAGCTAATGCCTTTGTTTTAGGATATGAGAAATTTACGCTTTGCATTAAAGCAAGAAGGGCACAGTAGAAGAGATATATTTGAAGTCCTCACAAAACATGCTTTTCCCCAGTCACATAACCTGGTAAGTTGCATTACTTATACTACTGAATCATCTTAATGTAGGATTGTTGCCAATTAACTTTAACTGTTGGCCTACTAATGGATGTCACAACTGCTTAAGAACAACAACAAGATCTGGTGTCAGTATAGAGAGTTAGTTATTTTGTTTTGCACGTTTAGAACACTTACATCTGTATATCTTTAAAATTATGGATACTTTATAATGGGCTTCAGGTAAACTGCTGAGCACCTCTGGTTCATGTATGTATCATTGCTTAGAGCCCACATGTTGTCCTCACTTGTAAGGAAATCTTTTTCAGAAGAAGACATGGTAAGGCAACACCTGCTTTATTAGCAGCTATTGATGAACTGGACAGCTAATGCAGTGATGGAGTTGTGGAGATTCATTGAGGGGAAGAAAACAACCCATAACCAAACATGTCCTCTAGAAGTAGTTGAGCAGCAGTGATGTTTAGCTAACCCTTAGCTTCTGTTTCTTTGCTTGGTAGATCATTTTGACATTCTTTATGCTAAATTGTAAATGCTGAAATTATGCTAAATGTTAAATGTGAAATTCAGCTTACATTTTATTGGGATGCTTATATTTAGGATAATTGTATAAGAGCTCCCTTAACAAAATATTGGAGTGTCATACTTCAAATTTTGAAGAACTTTTCTCAGGGAATTGTTGAAGGTGCAGTAACAATCTCAGTTCCTTCTCCTAAGATGCCCGTGAATTAATGGATAATTCTGTATAAATGTTGCAAAATACTTGTGGTGTTGGCCTGTATGACTGACTGACTTCTTGATATCTGATGGTCTGAAAAGGTTCTTCATTGTTTCCAGCATTTTATATGTTGCAAAAATAAATCAATTATTCAAGCATGTCTGGTCAGTAACTTTGTGTACATCTAACTGTATCTTTAAAAGAGAAATACAAAGTTTTATGCTTGTGTTCTGTGCTTCCATTTACAATTGGTGTCTTCAGTGAGCTGCAAGGTAGCAGAGAGCAGTGCTGTTCATTTTGGTGTAATTAATGCTATTTGCTCTAATGGGTGAATTATTTAACCTTGAAGCAATTTGTGTTCTTAAATAAAAATCATCATGTGTTAGAAAGTGAGAAATAAGACCAGTTTGTTTGATCTGGACTTTCAGGTTGTTTGTTGGAGATGTGTTTTGGCATGGCAGTGATCTGCCATCAAGCCCTATGTATTGAACATACATCACAGGTGTGCTCTGTCTGCTGATCGTTAGATCTAGTCTATCAGTCTGTTATTTTCTCAAGTTCTGTAATAGCATTAATCAATTATCTGGTTTCACTTGTTAAAATGTATAGCTAGTGGTTAAAGCAGTATGAACAAAAAAAAAAGAAGTCCTCTGTATGAGAATAAAACCAATTCATAGCTTAGTTCATCTTTTCAGTACTCTTGTGCCTTTTGGCAGCTTGAAGCATGAGAGGCAGAGTGCCTTTCTGTTTTGTTTTGAGGAAAAGAGCTAAGTGCTGTTGAGAAAGTGGATTTGGATTTGGGATTGAAGCAGGGGGCCCAAGTGGTCAGAGGATCTCAGTGTCTGTTTTGTGTATCCCACCAGACTCCTCATCCTGCTTTCCAAGCTGAAATGGAAAGCTTCATTGTCTTCACACTGCATGGCAACCCACACTTTATGCCACTGCTTTTTACAGTAAGCAGGATATTCTTTAAGTTACAGCTGTGGACAACCTAGTTTGTCTTGATTGGTGAGTAATTAGTGTTATGCTTAGATGAACTTCAGTTGAATCATGACTTTGAAATGAAGCTTTGAACTTGCAAAGAGTTTGCTTCATAAATGAGTCTTTTTAATATTTTTTTTAACGTCCTTTAAAGTGTCTACTGACATATCACTTAATCTCAGTCTTGGAATTGACCTATGTCAATTTCCATGAGGAGAGTGTGGACGATTTAACTTGTAACTGGGTTAGGAGTGTCCTTCATGGAGTTGTTTTCTGTGGCCCAACCCAACTACAGGGTTTGGAATAACATGGTGGTAAAATGTGGACTTAGGATAAGCTTTGTCATTGAAAATATCAGTGTTTCCTGTCCTGTGGAGGTAGTGAGTAACGTGTGGTAATGTGTAGTAACTCTCTATTTAGTAATGTGACACTGTGAATAAACCTTAGACTTTACAATGAGCTAAGCACTGTTTGATATTTTTGGTGTGCTTTCACCATGTTTCAGCAAATAGTTGAAGTTGATCCTGCCAAAGATCAGTGTTTCTGCATGGTTGTTCATTCCTGCCGCATTTTAGTCTGTGCAAGTTTCTGAGGCTGCAGGATGAAGCAGATAGGGAACTGAGATGAACAAAAGTCAAACAAGGAGGAAAAAATAAAAGCTTTACCCTGAGTCATTTCCTCAGCCTTGTTAGCTTAGCCTGAGGATGGGGGTGGGGAGCGAGGACATCTGTAGGCGTTCTTTTGCAGATGGATGCGATGCGCAGGGAGGATGGGACTGTCTCTTTCTGTGGCTGGTTTAAAGCAAGGTTTTGCTGGCTGAATGAGCGTCTGGGCTGTGTGTGTCTGCCTTCTGCTTTGGATGTTTGCTAACAATTTGTGGCTCTGCAGGCAGCAGGGAGATCTACAAAGATAGTGCTGTGGCTTCACGTGACAGCTGGGTGAGGATGGCAGCTGTCTGCTACCAAAATGCTGAGGTCTTGCTTTTTTCTGGTGTTCTGTGCTCTGCCTTCCAGCCCTGCAGTTGGTTCTTCCTTTTAGGTCATGCTGACAGTTGTATAATCACAAAGTAAGCCAGTGTAGTTCTCTTATCCAGAACAGAATGTTCTGTTTTCTGAGTTAGCTTTGTGCCATTTTTAATAATTTGAGGAGACCTGGTTTGTAATTAGAATGTGTCAGAACCAGTGCGAAGAAGGAGAGAGGTGGTACAGGGCACAGGGAGGGGGGAAAAAAAATCCTATGTTTATTTGTTTTTTTAAGCAGTGTTAAGCTGGTAGTTCTGCTCAGACCATGTTGTAGAACTGTATCCCAGGTCTTTGACTGGTTCAGCACTGTTCATGCTTATGCACCTCTGCAGCAGAAAGGAAGTATCGTTAGGAAAGTAAAGATTCTGATTGCTCTGTTTTCCTTATATTGTCTGCTGCTTATCCAAATGGTAGGTAAATACAGCCTGAAACATTATTTCTGAATGGTATGTGCTTATTAATTTCAAGGTTTTGCTCTTTTACCACCCCAAAAGCTGAAAAGTATTTGAAAGCCTATAACAAATGACAAGTCTCCACTCAACTGTTTGTTAATCTCAGTGTTGTCCTTCGTGCTTACTCGCAGAAGCTTGTTCTTGGCTCTCCAGTTTTAGGCTGGGTTCACTAACTGTAATATCTGGTAGCTCATCTGACTAACAGCCTAGTTGATGTGGAGCAAACAGATGCTGTTCATAGACCTATTGTGCATTTGCAATGTTATGGTAACTGGAAGAAAATCCTTGCTGAAATAGTGGTTTAAAACATTTTAAAATGCAACAAACAAAACAAAACAACCATAAAGCAGTGTTATGCATCTGTAATACCCTACAGAAGGTGAGATATATTTAGCCTGTCGTTCCGTTTCTGAATAGCAGCTGCTTCACTTCCTGATCTTATCTTGAAGCTACATCACCTTTTTAAATGAGATTATACACAATGATAATGCCTACACAACATGTATTGATTTCTAACCTTGTGAGTTCTGTGGGATTGCTGGTTTTGATGAGAGACACCATAGATGTCTGTCTGTGTGACTTCAGCTCTTGCTCTGGACATTACTAATTCTCCTGGTAACTTCCAAGCACCTGAGAGTCAGATTGTGTTCTTATTGGGTCTGTAAGGATGATTTTGAGGTAGCAGTGAGACCTGGGACAGGGGCCTGTCTGATAGAGCGCTAAGAAATGTCTTTTGAGGCTTCATTCTGAATGTCTCACACAGTCTCAGTGTAATAATGGTAAGGTTACCATTTCTCAGAAATGATGTTAAGTATGTAAACACTACAGCATCTTAGTTTTCATGCTCATGCAGGTAGAATGCAGCCAGCTGAGTTGCAGTAGTGGCATGCTGAAGTCGAGGACGATGGTACCTTTGTTTTCAAACACACTGAGAAACCATCAGCTTTTTCACTAAGCTAAAGCCTTGTGGTTTATTTATGAAAAGCGTAAACTGGTAAATTAGAAATAGGGAGGGGAAAAAAGTCATCTTCCCACGTTTAACTCTTGTTCTTCTCTTTTACTGTATAAAGATCAGTAGGACACTCATAGATGTAGCTGCTGCTAGTTTCTTGATTTTATTTTATTTTTTTGTACAATCTCTTGTGTAAGAGCCACTGTAGTGTACTGTAATTAACACGTGTTTTATGTATCAGGGATTAAGCAGGGTAATTTGTAAATTGTCACTGAGAAATTCACAGTGAGTAGCAACTTAAAATACGTGCATGCCTTTGAGACATCTTTTAGTCATCTGTTGTTATTCCAGTTTTTCTGTTTTCTTTGTAAGTTTCTCCTTGGTCTCCTTGGTTTCTTGGTGAATTCTTAGCATAGTTCCTATTTGGGATGTAGCAAATTCCTTTGGGGAGGACAAGATGGTTCTTTCCTGGAACTATTTATTAACAGTAGGTTAATGAGTTGCATTACAGCTGTAGATAGCCTTACTCCTGTATTGCTGTATTTCTGGTTTGCAGATAATTTTTTTTGCAGTTTTTCTGTTGGCTTTCTTTTAATGAAGTATTTTGTCTGATGCAATCAATGTCTACTCTTTTCCTTTCTTTATCTCTACTTCCAGCCCACTTGATAACAGGGTAGTTAACCAGAGGGATCTAATATTCACTTATGAACAAGGTGTCAATCTTTAAATGAGAGAAGACTCGAATTCAGAATGCTGTGTTCACTTTTAGAAACTTGCCAGGGAGTGCATTTGCTATAAAACAGTGGTTTATTTTAGAATTTTAGCAGGATAAACTCTCTTGTTCACAGTAATTTCCTGTTAAAATGCTTGCTGGCTTGCAATACAAGGGGAAAACTTACTTCAGAGGGATTGTTTTATGTTTGGATTAAAACTGTGTACTGTTTAAACTTAGTAGGCTAATGAGAATTACTGTAAGCCATTGCTACTGCCTTCATAAAATCTAAAGAAACCTGCATGTGCACCTGTGGTGCATTTGTGATGCTTTGCATGAAGATGTGATCACGGCACCTTAAAACCACGTGGCTCTTTCTGCTTCTTTTTGCTACGTTTCCTGTACTTCTTGTCTGTTCAGGTCAGCTCCTGTGCAAATGATAGAGTTCTGGGATGTTCAGCATTCAGTTCCTTCTGTTAATGTCTTTGAGTAGCCAGGAGACTTTCAGCTGTGTTGGTGCAAATTATGAGGGGCTCTTGAATGCTTTGTGTGTTTCTCTGTTAGCTCGGGACAGCAAATGCTTTTCTGCTGTGTTGTGCAACATCTTAGTTTCATGCTCCAGTTGGCATCCAAAGAATTCATAAGCTATGAAAATATTTTTTTTCCAGTGAGGGAGATTCCTAGAATAAACACTGCTTTGGTTTTCATGATAAGCTGTAAAAACAAACCAAGCAAAAAAGGATTAGTTAGACAGTGCAGCCTGCTTGGGAGAAGGAGAAATGAGCTCCAAGGTATGAGGAAGTTGTTAGAATCCTGAGTAACGATGCAGTGCTTTATAAAGAGACTGGAGAGTGGCAGCAGAAGAGAAAAGTGAAAGTAGGTGGAACCACCAACATACTTGGTTTCAGTTTCACTGGCACCTTTTTAATCTTCATGGAGTGTTACAGCAAATGAGATTTCAGATAGTAAGAGTCGCTTGGAGATGGAGTGTAAAATGCTTGCTGCTTTCAAGTTAGTACCTAATACTTTCATTAGTAATTGCATCTGTACCTGTTGGAGAAATCTTGATGAGAAGACGGCGTTTTATTTACAGAAGATATGAAATATGAGGAAGAGACTAACTCGTATTTCATTAATGTGTTTGCATTGTTTCTTATTTCTTGCTTTTGGCTTTGTGGTCTTTTGTTTCAAATTTAAGTGGGGTAGAGTGAGGTTGGTAAGGAAGTTGGTCATGTTTCATGGTGGACCTTAGAGTGTAACTGATGATGAGCCTTTGTCATCTTCAGTCAGTTTGGTGTAATAAGCTTCTTTTGCATCCTGCAGCTTTTTTTTGCCTTTGCAAATGAAGAAAAGTTCTCTGAAAATGGATGGATGGTGTACAATCCGATGTCTGAATACAGGAGACAAGTGAGTTATTTAAGTCACGTTTGCCTGGTCCTTTCATATCAGAAACCTAGCATAGAAGAGTTATTTTTTTCTGGATTGCTCTTTTGGAGCAGGGGGAGCTGAGAATTGGGGGAAGTAGAAATGCAAGAAACAAAATGCTGGAAGAGTTAGGATTAAAATGAAATTAGAATCTCATAGGAAGATCAGGGTTTGCTCTTGGAAAGAAGTTGCATTAATACTACTTACAGTGTGCCTCTGTTAAGCACATTGGAAGGGGAGTGGGGGGTGAAAGTGAAAGTACGCAGCTAAAGTGTCCTGAGTAGAAGTTTGACTTTTATCTGATTCTTCCAGAGTATAATAATAATAATTTTAAAAAATCTTTACAGAAATAGCATTGCTTAAATAAGTGATTTATGCCTGTGAGTATTCTGCCTTGCTCTTAAAATGGTTGTGGAAAAACATTAGCAAAATGGGATGACGTTTAATTTTGTTTAACTCGTGCAGTAGTCTTACTATTGGGTGATTTTTTTTTTTTTTTTTTTTTTGCTTTAAATACTACAGTAAGGATGTCCTTTCTTTTCATTTTTTCTCTACAATTTTTAATGGGATAAGGCATATCCAGGCTTTCATGTGATCTATTTGGTTCAAGGTAGAGGCCCAAAATCTCAAAGTTAAAATACAAATGCCTGCCCAAACTCCATTATATGTGCATATGAGGTGAGCTGATCAGTCTTTCTCAATTTCCTGAGTGCTGTTTGCAGTCTGCTTACTGAGCGGACTGACTAAATGTTATTTCTTACATTCAGGGCAGCCTTCCTACTGTTCTTTGTTTTTTTTAATTGAGGGTAGTGTCAGACTACAAGGAAGAAAGGACTGAGATCAGACTTCTTCCCTCCCTCTTTTCAGGGCCATAATCTCTTTTCAGCAGCCAAAATAGAAAGCCAGTACTTTGAGGGAGAAGAGAAAGTAATTTTCTTTCCCTAGCCCCATGTATTGTTTTGAAGCAGTGCCATAGTTGGGTTACACTGGGAGCTTGTTGCCACCATGTGGCTGCAGGAACATCATGAAGTTCGAGGACAGATCATTAGTTGTACAGTCGAATACATGTTGAAGAGCTTTGTTCCCTTCTAGGGACTCCCTAATGAGCGATGGCGAGTAACCTTTATTAATGAACATTATGGGCTGTGTGACACATATCCATCCCTCCTCGTGGTGCCATACAATGCAACAGATGATGACCTCAAGAAAGTTGCCGCATTTAGATCCCGAAATAGAATTCCGGTGAGTATTAATTGCATGATGAAACTGTCTGCAGCATAGCTAGTTGTAAGCACGCAGCCAGACAGCATTTGGCTGAACACGACGCAGAGAATGTTTCTTTGGAGATGATTACAGTAAAGTAGCTTTGATTGGCTGATGGTTTGGTTTTTACTACTTGGAGCTGATGTGATAGCCAAGACCCATTTCTGTTATCCCCCACGACAGTCATGCATTCCACCTTCATTGGTTTTCACTTCACTTGTCCAGTAACAGCTGCCAGTGTTGCAGATTCCTTTTTCTTAATGAGCTGTGAGCCTAGGATAGTCATCTGTACTGCTTATTGCTATTGTTGGATGCTCTTGGACAGCAAATGTTATCCTTCCCATGGGTAAGCAGTGCATGGCATTTAAAGTTCCAGTGGTCAGCCCTAAAACAAAACCTCATGCATAGTCTCTGTAGTGAGTTCCTGGGCTTCTTAGTCCTGTCTAATTTTAATGTGGGCTGTAGAATGTAAGGTAAACCCATTTGAATCTTTGGGTATGTTTCTGTTCTAAAATACTTTGAGAAACAAGAATTTTTTACAGCAGCTTTTTACAGAACTGTAGAAAATATTCTCTACTTTTTTTTTTTTTTTTTACAGTCTCTTCTATCTAATGTTTCAATTTGACAAACATACAAGAGGCTTTAAGTTCCTGCTACCAGAAAGCTGTCTTGAATCTCAGTTAATATCAAGCAAAACAAAAATAGTGAATACTTATTGGAGTGTATTTGCTGACAAGCTAGGATTATAATATATTTTTACTGTATATATGTGTATATACGTTACACATATACACGGATTATAGATGGTAAAGTGCACTATTTAATTTTGTGTATGTGTATATAGTATATGTATACAGTTCTTAAAACCTAGCTGTCGATCATCTCTATCTCAAATGCATGTCAGGGCTTTTAGCACTTACAGTCAGAATAATTTCCTTGCTAGTAATAATTTTACTCTTGTCAGGAAGTCTACAATCATGTTAATCCTCACACATTTTGTTTCTAGACGTGTAACTGAAGATTATTTCAGGAGTGAATGCTTCTGAAAGATTTTTTTTTTTTTTCCTCTCATGTTCTTTTACCCTTTAAACTTGGTCAGATTGGGTGAGAATATTCTTTCTTCATAGCTCACGAAGGTAAACTGTTGTCCACTTCTTAGAATGCCCATCTTTAATTTCTTGCATGGTTAGAATCTGTTCATAGGGCTGCAAAGCAGTGAAGGCAGCAGGCACTGTGCCTCAGAATCTCTTCTTTGTAAAGGGGGCTGAGGAACAAAATACACCTCAAGGACAATGGGAAACATTCAAGCTACTGCCAGAAGGCCTCAGAATTAATTGCACAAGTTAAAACACATAGGAAAAATGTGCTTGTAAAATCTAATGCATTTAACTTCAGTAAAAGTTAAATATGTAAAAGAATGAGCTCTTTTAGAGTGTATTAAATTTTACGAAAGTTGGGGAAATTAGAGATGTTTGGGAACTAACTTTTGAAGAAACAAAATACGACCAGTTAACTTTTATATTACCTATATTTAAGGAATGTGATTTTTAAGTTAGAGCTTGTAGTGAAATTTATTTCTTCTAATATGTTTCTGGGGATGTAACTAGGTTCTATCATGGATTCATCCAGAGAATCAAGCTGTTATCATGCGCTGCAGTCAACCCCTGGTTGGAATGAGTGGGAAGCGAAATAAAGACGACGAAAGGTACCTTGATATCATCAGAGAGGCTAACGGGCAGATCTCAAAGCTGACCATCTATGATGCTAGACCCAATGTCAATGCAGTTGCAAACAAGGTAATCGGATTGTGCAGTAGCCTTACTTGTGAAGGAGGATGCAGTGGGGACTTAGTTTCAAGTTTTCTTTGAAGAGGTTTTTCAAAACAGTGAAAATCTTACTGTAGATAAATTTACATAATCAAAATAATGAGGCTTGAGACCATAAAAGAACGTGAGTGCCTAAAGTAGGTCATGAGTAGGGTTTTAAGACCGTATATGGATTTCAGGATGCTCTACCCTATGCTATTAGTCAAGCATAGCCTTGTATCATCTGAGTAAATTCTATCCTGAAAAAGCTGTATGTAAAGCAAATTTCATTGGTAGGCATCCTTTTGTTTGGTTCTTCTTAACCATTGCACAAACCACTTCAGACTTACCCAAGCATGCAGCAAATAAAGAGAAAATGATCATTAACGTTTGGTTTACAATCTAAAGATTGTAAAGATGGGCATAATCCTGAGCCCATCCTGAGCACTTGGATTCTTTTATAGGTACCTGTTGATAAGTGCAATTACAAAAAGTACTTCCGTTTGACAAAATGATTGTCTGTTCAAATCTGTAATCAAATCCTAAATGGGATCAGAATTAAACTTATTTAACCTGTAACTTATTTTCTCCAGCCCTTCTACTCCACCCTGGTGAGGTCTGGATTGTTCAGGCATGATCAGATAATGCCAGTCAGTGTTGTATTTGCCATAAAGCACTGCAGGCATAATCGTGCTCCGTGTTTATATAGAAACTCTAGTTAAGCTGTGGAAGTAAAAGGCACAAATTTATTTCTCTTTCTTCATATGTCGATGCACCTGCTTCCCTCTCAGGTACTGTGATAGTCTTGAAGGACTTCTTGAAGTCCTTGACTATAACTTAGGTGTCCTACTGGGTGGAAGACTCATCAAGATCCAGCAATGTGTGCCTGCAGCCCAGAATGCCAGTAGTACCCTAGTCTGCAGCAGCAGAGAGGCAGCAGCAGGGCAAGGGAGGTGATGGTCCCCTCTTCTCTGCACTCCTGAGGCCGTCTGCAGCACTGTGTCCAGGCCAGCTGGACCTCCTGGAGAGGGCCCAGAGGAAGGCCACAAAGGTGCTCAGAGGGCAGGTGCACCTCTTTTGTGAGGGCAGGCTGCAGGAGCTGGGCTTGTTCATGATGGAGAAGAGAGGGCTCCAGGGAGACCTCATCACAGTTTTCCAGTACTTAAAAAGCTTATAAACAGGAGAGAGAAAGTGACTTTTTACACAGTCTGATAGTATTAGGACATGGAGGAATGGGTTTAAGCTAAAAGAAGGGAATTTAAATTAGGTACTAGGAGGAAATTCTCTACTCAGAGGGTGGCAGATCCCTGGCACTGCTACCCACAGCTGTGGGTGCCCATCCCTGGAGGTGTCCAAGGCCAGGTGAGCCCTGGGCTGCCTGAGCTGCTGCCTGGATAAGTGGTCTGCAGCTCTGTCTGCAGGAAGCCGGAAATGGATCATCTTTGTCCCTTCCAATCCAAGCTGTTCTATGATTCTACAGTAGTCTGTTACCCAACAAGCTTCAGGTGCAAGTGAAGAGAACAAGCTCTGGTACTTACTAGTGAACTGTGATTCTGTGCAGCAAAAGCATGAGACAGGTGAGCTCAGGAAGGCTTGAGATCTCAGTGAAACAGTGAGTTTGCTTATTTAGGAGAGAAGGAATTCTAGCTTCTGAATAGGTTTTTTTTTCCGGCACAAAATAAATATTAATGAAGTGGAATGAATCTTCAGTGTCTGTACTCAGAATATTAGGAAGGGAACTTGTTTGTCTCTAGGAGGCTTGTATGCAGTAAATGTTAACTTGCTTACAATTATAGAAGAACAATAATTTTAGATTTTGCTCTGTTACTCAAACACAAATATATACTTTTACAGCTCCCTCCTCTGTAATTGAGGATACGGTTCCTTCAGTAACTAATGAGGCTTGTTTTGCTTCTGAAAGAATGTACGATATGTTCTTTCCTAGGGTTGTTAGCCAGATTGTAAATTGATAGGTTATGTTTTGAGGGTGTGTCAGTTGCTTCTGTTTTACTCAACAAATGGTATTATGTTCTGAATAGTGAATTTTTGGGGTTGAACAAAGCATCACCCTTCTGGTTAGAGCCTGGTAACCGTTTGCCTTGTGGAAGGAATGTCACTTCTTGTAATTAACTTTTCTTTCTCCAGTTCTTAGAGAAACTTAAACGCTTACTCTGTTTGCTTCAAAGATGTTTTATGGCCAAGCTTTCTACATTTATGCTTCTTACTGAAGATTTGTGTGTAGTTTTCAGCTTTTCAAAGTGGTCTGTATATTTCACCCATGTACTTTAACTAAAACTCCTGATATAGCTGAGTATGAAACATTGTATATTAGCGCTAAAATTTGTAGGGTGCATTTCTGGATCTCAGAGACAATGACTTAAAGTGTAAGGCTGTGTTGATCTGGACTGGAAAAAAACCATCTCTTTCACTAGCTGTGAACATTAGTCTCAGCAAAATCTTGCTGTGCAGTATTTATGCATTTGTCTTCTCAGTACATTACTAGTCAGAATTGAATAGTAAGGAGGAATTGCTGCAGTCCCAATGCTAAAATTACAGTCGTTCTATACTTGTGCTTCAGGATGCTCAAAGGAAAGAGATAAATAGTTATTGCTTCCTTTAGCAAGAGCCTGGTAACTCTGAGAATAGCCACGCACCTGAGGAAGGAGATAGAGAGTGTTGAAGAGAGGTGTGATGTGACTGAATAGAAATGTAGGTGGTACTAATGGGAAAAGGCTGCACTGTACTTTAGGTTGTTGTCTGATGTGAAATTGGAGGCAGTAATGGCTTATAAACACAGCAATTATTTACCACAATTAATGGCATGGCACGTCTTTCCTGCCTGTAGGAAACACTTTGATTTTGCAGCTACCCTCAGAAGATCTCATCTGTGGTATTGTCCTAAAATAAGTGTGGTTTTTGTCCTTCCTTTGTCACCACGTGCATCCTCTGCTATGGTGGTGAAGAAATGCTTTGAGAAAGCAGCAGTATAATAGACTTCTTTTTGATTTTTGTGATTCTTCAGTTTCCTAACGATGTCACATGTAGTCTTCAGTAATAAAAAATGATGCTAGGAAAGTTACTTTAAAGTAAACTTCAATATTTTTACTTCTTAAAGGCTGATGCTAATATTCTTAAACTTAATTCTTAAATTTAACTTATACTTAATCTCAAACTCTAAAATTCTACTTGGCCAAACTTCTTACTGTTTTCATGTATTTCAGTATCAGTTCAACTTTAGTATTTAATAACTAGACAGTGTAAGCACAATGAAGGTTTATTTTTTTTTATAGCAAATTTGCACTGCAACGTGTAAGATTTGCTCCTGTTTAAATTACTGGTATACAGAAGTAGAAAAATCCTTTTGATTGAATTTCTGTCTATTTAGCATAGAAACAAAGATATCAGCACTTTTATTCCCAGGAAGTGCTGATGTGGTATGTTACAAGTAACTGCAGCTTTGTGTGATGTACTCTACATTTTAATTTAACCTTTATAATTTGCCAGGGAAGAAAGTTGATTTCTTTTGTATTCAGAATCATAAGTTTGCTTAATCTCTTGTGGGAAAAGTAAACAGAAATGAAGAAAAACTATTGACGTTGTAATGTTTGTCAAGGAGAACCTGTTTACCACAGTGAGTCTTAAAAGTAATAAGGAAGGTACAGATGCCTTTTATTCTGAAAGCCCTCTGAGTCATGACTGATGCAACACCAGCCCACTGTACTTAACCTGCCCAGTTCAATCTTATTCAGAGGCTTCCAGGCCCAATGGTATGAACAGCTTCCCTTTTCAGGGTTACTCCCTGAGGTTTTGAGGGGACTGAGGGTAGTTTGAATGCCTTTCTGGTCATCTACTGTATGCTTACATTTTGTCCTTTTGCAGGAATGGAAGCATTATGTTTTCTGCAGCATTTCTTCCTCCAGGGCTTTCAACTGAGACTGATGTTTTAAGCAAGCAAGCAACTAAGTGAAATTATACTTCATTTTCTAGTTAGGAAACAAAGTATCCATCCGTAGTTCCTCTGTTAAAATACAGCTACAACTGTGTGTGTATGACTGAAGTTAATTTAACATCTCTTGTTTTTAGGCGACTGGGGGGGGATACGAAAGTGAAGATGCATATCCCAACGCGGAGCTTTTCTTCTTGGACATTCATAATATTCATGTCATGAGGGAATCTCTGAAGAAGTTGAAAGACATTGTTTATCCTAACGTGGAAGAGTCGCACTGGTTGTCAAGTCTGGAATCAACCCACTGGTTAGAACATATAAAGGTGATTGTTAGCTGTTTCTTTGAAATGCTTGTCCAAACACGATGTATCTGTCTTGGTATTAAATCTTGAAATAGTGTGTGTTTTCTATCAAGACTACTTGAACTACAAAAACCAGCATTACTCAATTTTGGCTTGCTATTGAATTTTGTATCATTTTGGCCCACTTCGTCTTAAAGTATGTTACGTGGTCTAATAACTTACCAACAGTAAGGGAAGATTAACTTTTATCAGCCTCATGTCAGACGTTAGTCTTTAATAATTAAAAGAATGCATTGTCAGTCTGATTGTCTGTGCACGTGAGAACTGATTTATTTTGTTAGCAATAAAGGATAAAACTAACTGAATTTATTTGGAAATCTTCTGTATTCTTTTAGCTAAATAAAGTACTCAGTTACTAATTGAACTTTGAACTTTTTACATCAAGTGCAGCTGTGCAGAATTATTAGAGCATTATGTAATGAATCCTACTTAACGTTTTCATTTTAAGTTAATATTTGGAAAATAAGCCTATTAGAAGGGTAGAAGTGCCTTTTTCTAACAATTGAGATACTTTAGTAATTTAGTTCAAAGGGAAGAGCCAAATGAAATACAAAGTTTTTAGAGAATAATTCCAATGGAAAATCCTCTCCTTCTTTTAAAAAAGAAGCTTATGTTCTTCAGTTTATCAAGGTTACTGTTTTCTGTCCCATTTTCTAAGAATTTCCTGTGAGATAAATTAGATCTTACTAAGGCATTAGGGAACCAATTTGTTCCTCTATTTTCATATAATAAATTTACTTTTATCTCCTAGAAGATTCTTTTCCAGTTAATTACAACATGCTCTGTAGGTCTTTTAATGGAAACAGTATCAATGTAGATACTCTGCAGATAAAAAGAAATCAATTTGCTTTTGTTAGAATGATAACGCTGATCTCCTTTATTGTTTGGCGCCTGTTCCTCTTTGTTAGCTCGTCTTGACAGGAGCTATTCAAGTGGCAGACAAGGTATCCTCAGGAAGGAGCTCTGTGCTGGTTCACTGCAGTGATGGCTGGGACCGAACAGCACAGCTGACATCGCTGGCCATGTTGATGTTAGACAGCTACTACAGAACAATTGAAGGCTTTGAAGTTCTGGTGCAGAAAGAGTGGATAAGCTTTGGACACAAATTTGCATCGGTAAGAACTGGAAGATGATTGCAAGGGCTGTGCTACATTAACATTATATGATGTTTCCAATGTTAAACTACTCCTTGTGGCAAGGTTGGATAACTCTTCTCATTTTGGGAGGTTCTGACTTAAAATGTATCTAAGTAAAAATGAACGGAGCTTTTTTTGTTTGGACCTGTTTGGTTCTAATCATTCACATCCCGTGCAGCCTTTGAAAAATGCAGAATTGCTCGTGTTACTGTGTTCATCGAGCAGAGAAAACTAGAATGCAGAAAAATGGAGTGGGTTCCCCAGGGCAGTGTTTGGCAAAGCCTCCTGGAGTTCACGAAGTTTGGATGACACTCTCAGACATAGGGTTTGAATTTTGGGTTAGGCCAGGAGTTAAACTTGATGATCCTTGTGGGTCCCCTCCGGCTGGAGATATTATGATTCTACGGTGGCCTCCCAGCCATTTCAGAAAAAAATAAAATTGGGTTGGCATTTGAGGCTTTTTTCCCTTCGCTATCCCTGCTTCTCCCATATGTGGACTACAGTAAATGTCGTGGGAGGCAGATGAACAACTCTGAGCAATGCATTGGGTGATGTTTTCAATACTTCTCAAATGTTCTAGCAGTTGTCATAATAGATCTTAAAAGGTTGTCACTGGTTATGTCAACTCTAGTTCTGTTCTGTCTTTTTCTGGGTATTTAAAAGATAAGGGGAAATTGTAGCTGTAGGTATTCAGCCTGTGTGTAATGCAAAGTCTGGGGCACCAGTGTGCTAGGAAACTCTTCAGCCTCTTAGCAGAACTTCTCAAATTTGGCTGCTAACCTTATCAGCAGGAGATCTTTATGAGGGAGCTGGGGAAGCAAAATGGCTGGCCAGGGGAAATGTGCCGTGTTGCACAGACAGGAAGCATGAGTTGGTAGGTGTAACTTGGTGGTTCTGAGCCTTGTAATTCCAAGTGAGAAGTTTCCACACCCTCAGTAGAATTGGTTTACACAGATGATTTTGTCCTGTGGGATATTCTACAGGTATTACTTACTGTGGCTAAAATGAGGAAAATGGGCAATCTAAAAAAAAAAATAAAAATCAAGAAATGGAAAAGTACACGTCTGGGTATGTTTCATGCCCACTTTACGTTTACAGGAGCGTCTCAGTCATTTGAAAATTCACGTATTGCTACTGAGCATGAATGACCTCAAGCATCTAAGCACGCTTAAAAGTTGGAGCAGTCTTTGATCTGTTGTTCTAAAGGTGCTTTAGAAACTCCAGGCTTTAGGAAACTTGCATTTTGGTTATTGTGAGTATCAGCTGTAATCCGGTTTTGTACCTACTTACCTGCATCTTCTGGTGATGTTAGGTAAACCTTTGAAGTGTTCTGCTTTGGTGTAGCCTCAGGAAGCACTGGCCTGTTTTTTTATTCTAGTTATGTTTTATCTTATCACTGTAAAATATTAGTCATAATGCAGATAAAGTTAGACTGTGTCACTAGGGGATTTGTAGCTTAGTGCATATTGTTATGATTTAATGCTAAGCTTAAAAAAGTGTATTTCACCATTATGGATAAACTTGAATCAGCTAGGATTCTGTATTAAGCTGTTAATTTTAGTTTGGGTAATCAGAGCAGTCTTTCTCTCAACAGAAAATGTTTTTCTTCTACTACTTAAGTAGGACTCTTAGGCTCCTTCCAAGTAACTAGCTCAGTCTTCTGGGTCATGTCTGACTAACTGGCAGAACGAGGGTGATTTCAATAGCCTGGCTCTGCTAACAGTAATCGAATTGGTTTCTTTTCTCAACTTGCTGACTGAAGTAGTACTCTTTGGAAATGGTTAAAGCAACTCCCCTACCCATGTGCTGTTTTCTGGCAGTACTGCATATTTTGATTTGGTATGTATTTTGATATATATTTGGTATATAATATATTTTGAGACATTAGGCTTATGGTTAATAACAGCTTATAAACTTGTATTTGGCTACTATGTATGTGTTTCTTTTTTGGAGTGTCTGTGGAATAGACTCATAATGCAACCAGGAAATACTTTGTTTATGCATGCTGTGCATTGTTTGGTAATTGTTAGAACTGAGATCAATAGTGAGAACTGGGTATTTCAGTGACTAAAACAAGTTAGCTCGTAGAAGGTTTCATGTTACCAGAGTTGCAGTTTGGATGCTGACTACTTAATTCCTGATGATATTTTCTATCACATAAGTAGTTGTGCTGTGGGAAAAGGACCCCCTACTCCAGCTTTCCTGTGTATAGTGAATGTACTGCAGGATCCAGCTTGCAACGTAACTTGCAAACTGGAACGACATTGTTCTAATTATGAATTCTATTACAAGAATTATGAAATACGAAATAAATTACAAACAAGAAGGTACTCAGGCCCATACCAATCCTTAGCAAGATCCTCAAACTTCCAGCTGACGTGGACCTTCCTTACTGAACACATGTAAGACTGCTAATAGATATCACTTAATTTGAACTGTGAAAACTGGAGGACAAGGAGGACCTGTCTGTGTGTTTGCCTATAGTGCTATTCTGGTAACTTACTACTCTTGACTAACTCTGGCTACAATCTCTCATTTCCCTCCACTTCCAGCCATTCAGCTCTGTTATTTCAAGTTATCTTGCGCATCATTAGATATTACAGAGAAAAGTGATGAAACCATTACAGTTTGTGCCCTCAGGACATATTCTGCCTGCTATCTTACAGGCAGATTGACTGCATCGTAGTTCAACACACATGCTCTTCCTTGGTATTCTCCAGGCAAGTGTGGTTAAGTAGAATTAGAGGAGTTGCAGAATCTGTTTCCCTTGAATCCCAATCCATTTTCAACTATTAAATGCGAAAAGAAAGGAAATAGCTTTTACCAAACTTACTGTTTTTTGTCTGTGAGGAGAATTCCTTTGATTGTTACACTGGATGCTTTCTCAGAATAAGGTGGCTCATCCAAATTTGTAAAGTGTGCATTAATTTCTGTCAAGAATATGAGCATTTTTTTTAGCTCTGTTCTGTTCCCTATCTGTCTCAGGTTTTATCATCAGATTCAAGTGTGGAGATGGGCAGGGAAGATAGTGTAGATAGTTCCTATGATACAGGTTCTCCAGAGAATGCTTTAAGGATGAATAATCCTGTTTTTCCATCAACTAGCACTTTGTTTTTTAACAACAGGACATCTTTGCAATAACTTTGCAGTAGTTCCCCCAGTCTCTCCTCCATGATACGATAACTAATGCTGAAAACAGGTTGCTCTGTTACAGAAGTGGTTCTATTCTGTTGTAAAATAAGAAGCAGTTGTGTATCGGCCATAAAATGTGCTGTTTTGGTTAACAAGAGGCTCCATTGCTTCATTTCAGAGAATAGGACACGGGGATAAAAACCACGCTGATGCAGACAGATCGCCCATCTTTCTGCAGTTTATTGACTGTGTGTGGCAGATGTCTAAGCAGGTATGTTATGCCATTCTGCAGGTGGTGAGGCTGTTAAGTGATTCCTGAATTCAAAACTCAGATCTTTATACAATCAAAAAGTATTTCAAGAGGACAGCGTACCTCTCTGCCCTATTAGAAATAGCATATTTGCTTTTAAGCCAGGCCACCTCTCTTGCCTATTTCTACAAGTGGTTATATAAGCTGTGCTTGTGCTGCTTGATATCAGGCACTGTCCACGCATGCAAGGAGTGCTACTGGAGATTGTGACCAACAGCTTAGCATAGGGCCTGCTTGCTTCATCTCATCATTTCTTGTGAAGCTGTTTCTTCCAATACCTGGACAGTACTGTTTCATCAGAGCTTGGAAAGGAAGCTTGGGAGGTGCTGATGGTTGTGATTTAAACATGTCTTCAATAAGCAGTGAAATGAAGCAGCCAATTTCATCTGTTTAGGGCCAGGAATTAGGAGCCAAACCTTTTTCTTGTATGATGTTGCACTATAAAGTGTGCAGTATGAATATCTTTCTCTCTATTACTTGTAAATCTAATCGCAGTTCAGCGCTGTATTCTTTTTGGAAAACAACAGCAACTAGAACTTCGAGTGCATAGGTCTTAATGGCTAGCTTAAGCAGGTTCACCACTTCTGAACACTTATTCTGCTATGTAGTAATGAAAGCATTATCTTTAATTTTTCTTAAATGTAGTCAGACTTCTAAATGCCTTCTTTAGCTTCTTAACATTCTCTGCTTTTGCAACAAAAGAACAAATTGGCTTTTTGTTATTAGTTTCCTACAGCCTTTGAATTCAATGAACAGTTGCTGATTACAATCCTGGATCACTTGTACAGCTGCCGCTTTGGGACTTTCTTGTACAACAGTGAGTCTGTTAGAGAAAAAGAGGTCAGTCGTACCACTGATGGTTTCATTGCATTGCTGCATTGTCTCTAGACGCTGACAAAAATGCTGACTGTGTTTTGTTATATTCCTTGTATGTTAGTGTTCTTGAAGTGGCCTTTTTCCCATTGCAGAATAGTTGCATGGTAAATGCCTTGGTTTTGGTAGCTCAAATGCTGTCACTGTAATACTTGTGAAAAACTGTTCTATTGTATTAGAAATATTCTTAACTTACTGTGCTTCTAAGTAAATCATAAATGTTATTTTTAGGCTGTAACTGTGGCTTCTTTTGGTTTTCCTGATTCTGTGCAAATGTTTACAATTCTTATTTCAATTTCTTTTCAGAAAGTGACTGAGAAAACGTTATCATTATGGTCTTTGATAAATAGTGAAAAATCTAAGTACACCAATCCTTTTTATAGCAAAGAGCTAAATCGAGCTCTCTATCCAGTAGCCAGCATGCGTCACCTGGAGCTCTGGGTCAGTTACTACATCAGGTGGAACCCAAGGATCCGGCAACAAGTAAGCAAACTGTCTGAAAAATACAAAATGTTTGAAGACTCTGGAAGTAGATTTTTGTGCTAAAACTGATATGTAGAATAGTATCTGTTATCTGCTCTTCTTTTTTTTTTTTTTCCTAACATGCTATTTGTAAGGGCGGGAGGAGGAAAAAAGATGAAAATGCTGATTTAAGTGGTGGGGTTTTTTGTTGTTTTTTAATCACCAACTCGTCTCAGAACATGGAGCTGATTTCACTGCTCAGTATCAAGTCATCTTCAAATTCTTCCTGTCCCCTTTCCTTGGGAGTACATTCTTAACGGCATTAGATGTTACTGGAGGGTGAATGACAAGACTTAGGGCTTACTGAACCCTGGGGAGTAGAAGTGTTGGCATCTCAAGTATGCTTCATTGCATTTGCCAGTTCTTTCTCCCTTTTCTGGCAGAGCATACGGCGCCTTTTACAGAGTAAGATGACCTTTTCAGTTAGTCTTCTAAAACTGCTGTCTGTATTAATGACTTCGATAAGTTTTGGTTTATCTTTTGCTAAAACTTTCACCCAACATCAACCACACTGTGTAAACACAGAAGAAAAGCTATTATTGATAATTTTACAAGGGAATCAGATTAGGAACACTTTTATCAAATTATGTGTAAGTTTGTTCTTGATATATGAATGCTCAATCTTTGTTACAATCTCCCTAAAAATCTAGGCAGTGTGGCATATAAAGATAGCATACAGAGACTTAGTTGTCTTGCTCAACAAACTGCATAGTTTTGAGTAGGAGAAGATAGATGGGCAATTTCTTTGACAGAAGCAGAGTTCACTATCCAGATTATGAAATGAATCAGTTTTCAAGCAATGCAGTTCCTCTTCTGCAGCTGATCTATATTATTTACTGCACTCCAGAGGCTATAAGAGAGCCAGACAGTATGCTGTATTTTGTTATAAGTATGTTGCCAGTTTTAATTTCAAGTTCTCATTTAAACCTTCTGTTGCTTGCTGCAGAGGATGAAGGCATTTTGTAAAAAGTGAATCCAGAGATTAAATTTAGAATGTGAAGAATTATGGGGTGTGCAAATTAGCTGTAAATCTACTTTCTAAATCTACTTTGAAATTCTCTGCCTTTATTCAGGAATGGCTTTTGGAAGTAGCTTCCTGGTAGAAATGCAGACCTCTGTGATTCTCTTGCACGTGAAACTTATGCTTCATGTTAAGTATCTTGAGTAGTGAATGTGTGGCATAAGTCAGTTTTTGAGATGACCGTGTTGGTGCTGTGACAGAAGCGTGCTGGGGGATCAGACTTGTGTCTGGTGAAGAGTCTGGTCTGCCACAAGCAGCATCATTAATCCTACGTCTCTCATCCTGCTACTAGCTAGATTCAGTCATTGATCATACTTCCACATCTGCTTCAGTATTTATAACCTCCCTTATCTGAGGGCCAAGGGAATGCTGTGTGTGAGACTCAGTGATTCAGCTGATTTTGAACTGGTAGTATATTTAAATTTGCTTCTGCAACTTTGTTGTTAATAACTCCGAGAGGTTAATTGAGAAACGGTGGCAACTCCTTCACTGGTTCACTAGAACAAAGTAAGCTGAGGCCCTGTATCTGCTTTGAGCATCTGTGTGAAGTAAGCTGAGCTAAAATAGGTATCGTTAAGGTACTCTGGCTGTGAGCAGTGTGGTGTGCTCTGACAAGTCACAAAGTTATGCCTTTATTTTATTCATTTATACACAGTTGCAAAGTAACTATTTAAGCACTGAGGTAAACTTTAACAGTGAGGGTAATTACATAAACTGAAGATTTCATCTTCATCTGATCAGCAGAGCCAAAGATCTTCAGTCTGGCTAACCATTTTTTTGGGGAAGACAAAACATTTAAACTCTGCAATCTAAAACCTTTTAAGTCAAGAAGGGAAAAGCTGTGGAGAGGATAATCATGTCCATATAAACACACCCTATTAGATAGTAATTGCTGGGAAATTCTGACCAATTTTTATTGAGGAAGAGCTAGATTTTCCTTTGGATGAAAACAGTTTGAACCCAGAGGGCTCTTGTGTTACAGAAATAAAATAGGTTGGTAATCCAAGAAGACAAATATTAGAGCATCTTGTGTAGATGTACTTGGACTACAGTGATAAAGGACTAACACAGATCTCTTCCTAGCAGCCAAATCCAGTGGAGCAGCGTTACATGGAGCTCCTTGCATTGCGAGATGATTATATGAGGAGACTGGAAGAACTACAGATCACAAATAACTCTAAGATATCCAACTCATCGGCCTCATCAACGTCTCCCTCACAAATGATGTCCCAAGTACAAACACAGTTTTGAAGAAAACGCTGGCTTCTTTCTATATCGTAACAGCAAGTGGTGCTTAACATAGATCTAGAGTATAAAGAAGAGTATTTTAATGCCTTACGTTAGATTGTCCTAACAAAGTATTTTAGACTGTCTTCATTTGAGGAGGACTTCAAAACAAAAGCAGCTCTTCCATTACGTGCCTTTCGGAACCTGTAAGCTGGGAACAGGAATAATCAACTTGTAGTTATGGAGTACTTTAGAGTTATTCTGGAAAGCCTGGTACAGTTTGAAATGAAATTGATTTATTGTTTTCTAAGAATGCTTTAATTTATTATGCTGTAGGTCTGTTCTTCCTGCAAGGGAATTCATGCTCAGTCTTGGATATTGTGAATAAAACACACTAACGCAAAGAGGAATGTTCACACCGTGTGGAAGCAGCCATGTGTCCATTCCTGCGAGGAATACGGCTGAGGACTTCGTGAGCCAGAAATAAATTACCTGGCAAGATTTCAGAGGGAAGTTAAAAAGTTTAAAATGCTCTGGTTGTGTGAGAAATCCAGATTTTGCTGCCTCAAAATAAATGAAAAGATGGAAGGATATACTTTTAATTAAACAGTGCAGATAGCCCCGTAGGTATTAAAAGAAATTATTTTTTTATTGTATTTTTTTAACAGATGACAGTTGCTCTGGATTCTGAGAGGTCCTGTTTGGGTTAACTGCTGAGCATTGCAGTATATTACAAATTATCACTGTTGGCTGTGTTGGCTTTTTGGATTAATACAGGACAAAACATTTCTAAATAAGGTTTATATAATTAAAAACAGATCCACAGGGACATTACTTAAATATCCAGCAACAGCCATCGTGTTGAAGCTTGAGTACGTCTTACAAAAATAAATGTGCCTGTTCAGAGGAGCTTTTATACCAAAGTAGGCAAAAAAATACATCAGTTCTGAATACTGTTGAAAACTTGTAAATTTATAGTTTGCCATTCAGTGTATATTTAACTTTTGTTTAATGAATTTATTCTTAAATATTTAAAGGACTTCAGTATATGAGATTTGCATATAGTGTGTGCACTTACACTGAACCTTCCACTGAGTTCTAGTTTTTGGTCTTCATTTCAGAGGCATTTTGTAAACCTTGTTCTTTTCAGGTATTTTTTAATAGTTGCATTTCTTATGACAGACAGACCTTGCTACTTGATATTTAATTAGGATTTTGCATATTCTCATAAGTTTAATGATATTCAAGCAATCCAGGAAATTTTGCAATTCTGAATTTGTGGAGGACTCTGATGTTGTTGTTTTAAATGAAATGTCCTGATGCTTGAGGCTTCTGTCACTGTAAATTATTGTACATGCGGTGGGTTTTGATCAGCAGGATATAATAGTATTATATATAAATTAAGTTTTGTGTAAGTATACATAATATAGTTTATTAGAAATTCTGCGAGATTATAATGTGTAAATATTTTGCATATGAAGAGTAAGTTTGAAGCGATAATTCCATAGAGTCAAACTTTAGAGGACATCTGAGTATTTTTAGGAACAGTATTTTTTCAAAGGAATAAAGGTGTACTGCCTCTTGATTTGCTTCAGTATATACACTGAGTTGCACTTTTTTTTCAGGGAAGCTCAGAGCATACTGCATGTGTGTTCTAAATGCATATGATTATTTTTGTCCTCTAAATTTCATTCTCCCTTCCGTATCTTTCACTGTGTTTCCAAAATAACATGAAATGCCATGATCCCAAAGCTTGGCTTGTTGAGATGGATGCGATACGTTTATTTCAGATGAAGGAAGATACTCAGTTGAGATACACTTTTGAAAGCTATGCATACTCTGGTATCTTTGCCTTTTACTTGTAGTTTGTGTATGTACTTAGATACATATAGATAAAGCTAATTTTATTAGAATGTTTAATGTTTCTGTATTTGAGTTGAATATGTTGGTGACATCTCTGAGCAGTGTGGGGGAAGTTTGGAAAATATAATTTTACTGTGTAAACACTACATGATAACCTGTTGCCTGTGGGGAAGTGTGATATAATGGTAGGGATCTTTATGCACTTTGTTCATTACATATATTCGATTATTCATATGACTGGTTTGGTTGAGTGCCATTTTTAGAAGCTCTCTAGCATAGCTGTATTTGGGCTTTTTTATTTTAAGTTTGCAGATAAGATACTACTACTTAATTCTGTTTTGTCATGGTAACGTTAATTACACAAACATAAGGATGTTTTTAATCCAATACCTTCTGGAAAATACTACTCGAGAACTGTGGTGAGTGTAAGCTCAGAAATGGATCAGTGCTAACAGGAAGCTCCTTTCCATTTAAACGAGCTGAACGGGCTGTCATTCTGCCGAGTGACGCCAGCAGATCCACCTGTGTGTACGGCTGCCGTGCTGCTCGGCTTTGCTGCAGCTGTGCGAGCCTGGGCCGGGCAGCGGGAAGCTCCTGAGGAACAGGAGATGGGCAACGACTGCCTGCTGGGGAGGAGAGCTGGGCTGTAAAGGGGCAGCAGCTACAGCTCCCAGCTCTGTGAAATGCTGCTCTGAGCTCTGGTCCTTGTTTTTGTTCTACTTTTTGTCACCCTGGTTTGTACTGGAAGTCACTGCAGAATGCCTTCTTGCTTTGCTGCGTGCCTCGTCCATCGCAGCATCGCCGTTATGAGTGAACCTGCGGACAATTTGCCCATTACCTCCGGTGGAAGTACGTCTGAGCTCTGCCTTCGGCTCGCTTCGTGCGCTGTTGTTCCTTCACTCTGCCTTTACGTCACGCTTTTGATCCTAGGCGCCGACGGAGCCGCGGCGGGGCGGGAGGAGATCCTGGGCTCCGTCTGCTCCGTACGTGCGCGGAGAAGAAAAGCAAATAAGGGTTTCTCTTTCCGCCCGCTCGCCTCCTCGGCCGCTTCCCTCGGCCCAGCCTGCCCCGCTCCGCCCGGCGCCGCCTTCCCGCTCCGCGCGGGGCCGCCGCCCGCCCTCGCGGCGCCGCGGAGGCCTATGGGTAAGCCCGGCCGCCGGGTGACAGCTCTCGGCCGGGGCCCGGGCTGAGGCGGCGGGGCCGGGAGGGAGGCCGCCATCGCGGCGGCGCGGGGCGTCCCGCCGGCGGCCGGAACTATGGAGCGGGCGGCGGCCGGGCCGGCGGCCGAGAGCGGAGTCGCGAGCCGGCGGGCCGCGCGGGCGGGGGCGGCGGCGGCGGGGGCCGCATCGCGGCAGGCCAGCGGCGAGACGCTGGACAGGTGAGCGGCGGGCAGGCGGCGCGCTGCGACTCCGAGCCCCGGCACCGCGGCCTGCCGTGCCGTGCGATGCGGTGCGCGGGGCCGCGGCCTCCCGGCCCTCCTCCTGCCGCCGGGCCTGGGACCGGCGTTAGGACGGCGCTTCCAGTCTGCGCCTTCACGTTCGTGTCTCCGCGCTAACAAACGCATCCTCCGCGCGCCGGCCCGCTCAAAGTTCCGTGCCCGCGGCTGGGTGCTGGTCGCGATCAGCGTCATCGGGCCGGAAAGGCTGGGGCTGCCTGCGGGATTTTGGCTGGGATTTGGGGAACCTGCGGAACTTTCCTGAGGCGGTTTTCCTTTGGCAGCCGTTGTTTCACGGTGGGCGGGCAGGCGCAGAGCTCGGCTGAAACAGAGCGGGACTAAATGGAATTCCCCGGGATGAGGGAGAGAAAAGTTAGGAATTGTGCCGAGGTTCCACCTCTGTGTTCCGTCGCTTTTCTTTTAGGAGAAATCTCGACGTTCTCGGAAAGCTGGAAATCCTTCCTGAGAAGTCTGTCACTCAAATGCACATCCGTTATTCCTTGCTGTCATGTTTCTTATCTCAACTTTTTATCTGCCCAGAGGGGCTGTGGATGCCCCGTCCATCCCTGGAGGTGTTCAAAGCCAGGTTGGATGGGGCCCTGGGCAGCCTGGGCTGCTGTGAAATGTGGATGTTGGTGGCCCTGCCTGTGGCTGGGGGGTTGGAGCTTCGTGATCCTTGAGGTCCCTTCCAATCTGGGCCATTCTGTGATTTTCCTCTCCCCCTTGTTGAGCCCTGGACCAGTCTCAGTGCGGCTATGGCCGTACCGCAGGTGAGGCACGATGTGACCTGGCACTGCTCTGCCCACAGCACTGAGCCGCACTGCCGGGCTGTGCTGCACCAGAGCCGGGCACCTGCACACCTGCTCTGCCAGCACAGACATAGCAGGGCCTGCCACAGGTCTGCCATTGAGAAATCTTCTGAAGTAACAAGTAAATGCTCCTTTGGAAACAAGCTTAGGCTAACCCTAAAGAGGTATAGCAGAAATCAAGAGGTGGGAAGGAAGATGAAATAAAGAAGCTCAGCTCCTAAGATTTGTCAGAAAAGCTCTTAAAGATCTTTAATTTCTGGCTATATGCACCTGCCTATCCTAGCAGATAGTGTGAGGAAAGGCCTCTGGCTGTGCAGGGGTTTGTAATCTTGTGCTGTCATCCCACCTGCCAGACATTCCAGTTGTGTGTGTGTTCTGCTGGGTATGTGTATAGAGTGGTTGCTTCTGTGTCACGCAATGCTCAGATTGTGAATTAATTTCAAAAATGAATTTAAAATTTCGGTTTACGTTTGACTTGGGAATGAGCTTTGTATCTGCACAAGTGCCTAGCGAACCTGTGTGGAGGAGTGGCAATATCTCCTGTACGAGCTGAGCCTGCAGTGGCATGCAGGTTCCCCAGCCTCCCCGGCTTCCTGTGGGGCAGGCCCGCTTTGGGGCAGTGCTGCTGCACCTCTCCATGGCTGGCAGCTGCTCCCTGCTGCTGGCATTCTGAAACTTGTAAGCCACGCTGGTTCCAGCAGCTGCTCTCCAAATGCATCATCTCAGGTTCAGTGCAGTTCTACTGTTCAGATGCATTGTCTGTAGGGTTCTTGTAGACATCTGAGAGTGGGAAAGCCAGTCTTTAACATTATTTGGAGATTATTATATGAATATATAAAAATGTGGCTAAATTAGAAACTGCCCTTTAGGAAACATGTATTTTCTACGTCCGCTGTTAGTATAGAATGCAACACTGCAGTAGTCTGCAGTTTTAAATGCTAGCATAGAGTGGTTTAATTTTCAGTAGGATTTACTAAACAATCGGGAAATAGCAGTAAAGGTGAGTATGAGGAGTTTCCTGTTAGTTATCCAATTCATTCCATGGATGGATCTGAGAAAAAAAAGCATGGATGTTGGAAAAAGAACTGTACTTGGGTAAGGAAGCCAATGTTTTTATAAGGCCGAGGCCCATATGCACGCTTTTGGCCCTCTGACAGCTTTACATCTCTGATAACATCCAGTGACATTCTTTTACCTCCTTTGTTTGCTGAAATAATTGTGTTCTGCCCACACAGAAACCTGATTTGTATAGTGTTAACACTTATGTATGGCCTTGTTTTGTATTGCTGTGCCTTGCTATTCTCAATATACATTTTGAATGTGTATGATAAGTGTTGAGTCACGGCCTGAAGCACTGATGGAGCACCTGGGGAGAGGACCTGGTCAGCCCTGGGAGCACAGTTGAAGGCAGTTCAGTTGTGCAGCAGGAAGGGGTGGAGCCTGGCTGCACCTCACTTGGGAGAAGGTTCTCTGGTTGGAGGTTCTTCCTTTGGGGAGTCTGTCCTGTGAGCCTAGATCTTCAGAGATGGGTGAGCACTTTTGAGTGAGCACTTTTCCTTTGTAGCACCATTTTATCTGCCCCGGTCCTTTGCTGTTCCGCTCCTGTACTGCCTTGCCACTGTGCTGACCTTTTTGATTGTAACAGAGTAATTGTTAAACAGCATGAAATGTTCTGTTTCTGTAGCCCTACGGGATCCCACGTTGAATGGTGCAAACAGCTGATAGCTGCAACCATTTCCAGTCAGATCTCTGGGGCTGTCCCTTCGGAAGGTGTATCCAGAGACTACCGGGTAAGTGAGCCCTGAGCAGCGTTCGTTTGTTCTGGATAAGAGTGGGTGGTCAGGAAAGGCCTTGCTGGGTGGTGAGTGCTTCTGTGATCTCGGAATGTTTCACAACTAGAAGTGTCTCATTTGTGCATAGGAATCTTTTGAATCTGTTCTATGTCTTCCTCTATAGTTGGAGCAGTGGCATTGAAGTGTGCAGAACAAAAAGTTTTCTGAATGAAACGCAAAGAATGACTTGGCTTTCTTTTTGATTACTACATTAAACAAAACAACAAAAACAGCTAAAGTGAATTAATTTGTAGGCTGAAATTGCTTTGTGTCGTTTGGAGTACCAAACTGATCTCACTGGATTTCACCAGAAATAAATGCATATGTCTTCATTACTGTTCGAAGAACATTAATATTATCATTTTTCATTGGATTTGACCAAAGAGAGAGAAATTAATGTGAAACTAAACAGCACCTTTTTTTGTTCCTTCCTGGCAGTGTTTTTGTCATTAATGATTGCAGAGCATACCTTACCTGATGGGTTCCATTATGATTTTTACACCTGTTCTTTTGTGCTCATTTGCTGTTTCCAGTATGGAGGCAGTTAATTGAGCTTGTTTGAGAACATGACGAGTCACCTGTGTGAACAAAGACAGACTGCTGCTATCTGGTGCAGAGTGTTCTTCTTGCTTTTGTCCTACATTTAGAAGAATTTGATATTGGTGTAAAATGACCAGATGAAAATGTTACTGTTCTTATTTTTAACTAGATTTGAAGTCATTTGCTAATAAACTCTGTGCTTAAAAGTTTGCTGTACAGCACCAGTGTATTTTAGATTCTGTGACTGCAGATGAGAATCTGCCCACTCTTGAAGATGAATTCCATGATATTTCTGACCACAATCTGTTTAAAAACAGATGGGCAGCTCTCAGGTCAAGGGTAAAATCTTGGGCAGAACACCGTGGGACACTGCATTACAGCTGGCAGAGTTGTCTGTGCTATGCAGATGAAGGACTTTGTAGTAAAATGCAAGTGTGTAAGCTTGGTGCTCAGTTTATCTCTGAGTTATATGGCATTCCTCTGGAGTAAGGAGTGCTTTTGTATTCTGAGTAGCTTCATTCTCTGTTACAAATTCACCTTAAGTGGACTGAGTCTTTTGAGGCCTGATTAGATGTGTTTATCACTGTTTCTTGAAACAAAGCAACAAAAAATAATAAG